GCAAACGGCCTTGTTATAATAGAAAGGTCTCCCTCAATGTCGTATAATCCCGTTGACTCCCACCATTTCTCCCCGACTGGTAAAAATTTTATCGTTGGACTAATTTTCCCCGTTGTCCGCCAGTAGGGCCAACACAAATGGTGAAAGACAATCAAATGAGAATACACCCTCAATGTTATTGATAAAATGAGTACCTATGTATTTGGTACCTATGGCAACTATGTTTCATGATATGCCTAGATAATAATATTTTCTTGTAGGTTAAAGCCTAGGTTAGCTGATAATCAATTTTATCGTTAAGTCAGAGTTTAGATATAATATACAAATATGCGGCATGTGACTCCCCTCCATGACCTTTGGATAATCGTTAACGGCCAGATAAAGTAGCTGTTTAATTAGTATATTTACGGAACTAGCTAATAGATCTCTAATTGTCTTAGTTTCGAAGTCCTGCGAGGCTACAAGGACGTATTTTGGAACTGCTATAAAGTCATAAACGAAATGGCATATAAATTCGTGGCACATAATTTGAAATTATTAATGTTTTTCATTTTACGGGGCAGTAGGAGAATACTTCGAACTAAAAAGGTAAGAAATATTATATCATTTACTAATTTGATCCAACCAGGAAATGAAATTGAAACCCAATAATTTCAAGGCGATTCAACCCTCCAAGTCACAATGACATCGAATCGTTGAAAACCTATAAAAGTTACGTTATGTTTTGACCTTGTTGATTTTAAGGTAACATTTTTATCTGAAACTAGCGGCCGCCCGCGACTTCGTACGCGTGAATCCCGTTTTAACCCATTAGGAGTTGAATTTTGCAAAATCCCGTCTTAGTGAGCACCTACATTCTGAAATTTGAAACTCCTAGCACTTGTAGTTTCTGAGATTTCGTGATGAGTGAGTGAGTCAGTCAATCAGTGACCTTTCGCTTTTATAGATATAGATTTTCGCTATCGCTTCGCTTTTTATCGAATATCACCTAATAATTGCGTCTTTACATAATATGCGTTTGATAATGCCACAATAATGCGTAGTTGGTGTGCTGCGAGCTGTGACTCAAAGTGACGTCATGGTGAACCTCTTTTTGAGTATTTTAATAATTATGGTAAATACCCTGATGATTTTAAATAAATATTCGCGTTTCTTGCGAGGCTTATGTTATGTAGGGTGGAGTTCAGAGAAGCCCTAAGCACAGGATTTAGTACTTCAATTGAATTGCGGATCCCATATTATGCTAAAAGTTTATTTTTATGCTAAAAGCAGTTTAAAATTTGGCTTTAAAACCAGTTACAATCTCCCAACGTAGTACAAGTCACCGTTTATTTTTTGTTGAACCGATGTCGCACTTTTGTATCTTTTGACAGTTTGATAAAAATGATTATTTACTTGCGAAACAGGATTTTTGGCTAATAGTCACTATGGGTAGGTTTAGTTTTAACATTTTAACCCTCCAGTGCGTTTGTAACAAACTTGCTGAAGAATGTATTTAATTTTACTCGTACGTGATTCAGTAGAACCTTAGAAATGTCGTCACGTGTCACGGTTTTCTAATGCATTGTACAGTCGACCACACTGTACTATACTTTTTTGTAGCAAAATAACCTCTATTACGACTACATAAAGATGCGGTGTTTAGTTTGATGTCTTCTACTATTTCTAAGCTCAACAAAATGACTAACGCTCGTATTCACAAACGATGCTTGCTTATGAAGTGAGTGAGTAAAAAGTGCAAGTGAACCAGCAAATCGAACGCACAGTGTTGAATAGAGCTTTGTGATTGGTCCGTGTGTCACCCTGTGCGAGAGATCTCATAGTAAAGTTTGTGAATACGTTACGGGCCTAACCGGTGAGGTCACCGGTCCGCTAACAATGCATCGGCGGCTCGGCGCCCGCGCATTCGACGTAGTTGTGACAAGCTGTTGCAATCTGATTTACGTTTGATATCAAGATAATATTATCCTGTTATTCGCCAAGTTGGGAATGGGGTGGGAATAGTCCCGTATGAAGAGATTAACAAGATGTTGCCCGCGGGTTCGCTTCCATTAAATAAATCTATTTTTCACGATTTCATTCATACTAACTTTGTACCCCCGTTTCTCCCCTTTTGGGGTGGAATTTAAAAAACGTTCAAGAAATGTATTGTTAGCATTAATTAAAACTAAATTTCATATCACCGGCTTCAAAAATGACGGACTTCCATACATTTTTCTTCCCCTTTTTCACCCCTATAAGTTTGCATTTAACAAGTGTCATTTTTTATAGTTACTTTTGTGAAGCCTCAATGTAACCTTGTTGGTGATCAAATAAATAAATAAAAATAAATAAGGGATTAATCTCGAAAAATCAGTTCTAATCCCTTCGCTAGTCTAAGTACGTCATAAAAAAAGAGCTTCATAGGTCCAAGGGTTTAGACTGGATGTTGAAAAGTCAGTGAGTCGCGACTCGATGTTGAGCTAATGAGTCAGAGATTTAAAATTAGTTTTCCTCAAACTACTATTTATTATATTTATATTTACTTAAGGACCTCTAAAAACTCTTGTGGGTCCTTATTTACGAGCAAATAATCTGAGGCATATCGCCAATAGGTCACGGCCATTTTGCAGTTAAATAACTACTACTTTCTTTTATCTTTCTCTACTATCTTGTTGTTTTGCTCCAGTGTTTGATATTATGTAAGTTTTATTATTTACCCTTGAATAAATGTAATTATCTTGCATTTCTCAACCGACTTCAAAAAAAGGAGGAGGTTCTCAATTCGACCCGTATGTTTTTTTTCTATGTTTGTTACGCGATAACTCCGTCAATTATGAACCGATTTGAACAAATCTTTTTTCGGCGTATAGGTAATACCTCAAGGAGAGGGTGGTCCCATTTAAATTTAATAATAAAAAAACAACCCCCAAGGGTGGAAAATTAGGGATGAACTTTTTATACGCAATATCTCCGCCGATTATGAACCAATTTTAACGATTATTTTTTTTTGTTGAATAGGTATTATTCAATTTTTTTTAATTTTTAGTTTTTTTTGTGTTCACGCATTTGAAGTCGGTTATATTTTTTTTTAAAGTTAATTATTCTTCTCAGCACGGGCCCATTTATTGTCCCGAAGTAGTTTTTTTTTATCCACAACGAGGAAGCTCTTGGCCTGATGGTAAGTGACGATCAGGCCGAAGGTGGAAGCGAATTTCACCCGGAATCTTCAACCACGGAGGAACTGGTTATCTTACCTCTAACTGCCGGAACACAACAATGCTGTTAACATTGTTGTTTTAGTGACAGACTTAGGTAAGATGGTGGTAGCTAGCCAGGCGGACTTAGAACAAGCCCTACCACCAAACAAACCCAACAGAAAAATCTGCCCCCACTGGGAATCGAACCCGGGACCTCTGCGTCTGAAGCAGGTGATCTTCACTAGACCACAGAGGTAGTTAAAGTTAGTGGTAGAGTTAAAGTACTAATACTGCACTGGGGCGTGTAAAACTTCCTAGTATTGATAAGCCTACTTACAAAATAAATGAATTGAAAAATGATATCGGACCTGCGTGGTGGTCAGACGACCTAATTTATTGAAGCCATTGAAGTGTGTGCAGTGATCCGTTCATACTTATCCAATGTGACACCAAAAATCGATCATGGTCAGCTATGGACTTTTCCTTACAAAGTAGGTACTCGTAATTGTTTGTTATATTTTGGTATAAGTTCAAAATACGGTTCTTCTAAAAACATCCATTTTGTTCAGGCTTTCTGTGTGTTAGATATACATACAGGGTGAAATTTTGCAAACATTGCTAGAATGCAGTTGTCTTTCTTTTCAAAAATAAAGGAATGTTTTCATTGAGTAAAATTTTCTATTTACGAAGAGTACTTTCCCTCCGGGTGGCATTACAAAATTCCACCATGTATTGCAGAGTTATATTACAGATACCACTGGCCTATTTTCGACCGCAAAACTTTCTACAGACAGAGTGTCGATGACATTATCGTTGTAATTAATTTGCGATGCTTTATACGCTTGATCATTGAACTCACAAGTCGGGCCTAGTGATAAAATTGAATAACAATTACTCGTATGTAGAATGGAAAAGTTAGAAGCTGTGGTAGAAGGACAAAAAAGGCTACTCATGTCCATTCGATGATTTGACACGCGGTCAAACAAATACAGGTTGCTGGTTAGTTTTTGAGCGTCCGCAAGTTTTTTTGTGGAATTTTAAATCTAAATACAAGGACATAGAATTCAAATGAAATCAGTTTATTCAGTACATAGGCCCTAATCCAGGGCACTTATACACGTCCCAAATAGTCGTATAGCAATAATTCAAAATAACGTGGTTACTTACTATCTTTGCATATTTTATGACTGTTTGAGTGTACTTAGATATACATTCCTAACTTACGATATTAACGATACTTCCTACTGTAAAGTTTCATCTTAATCCGTTCAGTAGTTTTTGCGTGAAAGAGTAGGTAACAAACATTAAAGAGTAACAAAGTTTGGATGTCTGGCATCCACACATCCAAACTTTCGCATTTATAATATTAGTAAGATTTCAGCCACGAAGACGCGGCCCACCATTATTCCGATAATGTTTGAGTGTGATCGGTACACGCTAAATTATCCATGAGTGCACACGCTCACTACAATAATGGCGCTCGGATTGCTCGGATCAAACTTGCCGCACCCCGCGCTTCCCTCGACCAAAAATTGGTGGGGCGCATCTTCGTGGATGAAACTGGACAGCTCGAGCAGTTAGCCAGGGAGTGATCAACATATACGGACCGCTCTTGCAGTCATAGTCAATTAGCTAAATTAATTTCTCTATAAACGGGTATTCCTTGCTGCTAACCGCCCGAAGTAGTCACAACTGCTCGAGTCGCAGCTTGAAGTTGTCGTCACTAGCTGCTTCAATCTGACCGTGTATGGCGGACCATAGGATATCGGAGATTTCATCACGTTGTGAAATAGGCCTCTGTAAGCTCTTGTTGGTTGGCAGGTTAAATCGCATGGTGACGTCATGGCAGGCGGCGGCGCGTGGTCGCGGCGCGTGGCGGGGCGCGCGCGCACGCTACGGGGGCTGGTGCGCGACACGCAACGCGCGTTGCACGACGTGGCAGACATACTGCACTATGGTGGGTACAAGCACAGAATAATAATAAGTACTACGTACAGAAGTTTTACTTCGCGAAGGTATTTAAAAAAATGAATGCTCAATGTCATTAACAATATGGTGTAATTTAGCCTGTCTCAAGAGTCAAGCACCATTTTGTTGACAAACGTCAGTGATCGGCACTGCGCCGAAGCTAGGGCTGACTTCGGTAAGATGATGTGACGTGGGTGCCAAACGGAACTACGGAAAATGGCGGAGGAAATACATGATTTAGCATGAATTATCATGAATAATATTAACTACTTATTTACCTCTCAGTGTCTTAAGGCAACTTAAAAAAGTACATTCTGTGTTTTTATTATTATTTAGGCAGTTAAATACTGCACAGTATTTCGTACACCATTTTCTTTATTTTCTTCCATCATACACAAGAATACGCGTGCGTGAGTCAATGTTCGCTCGTATGTGAGGCCTTGTCGAATAGTATCCTGTAGGTGGGGCCATCGTGCGTGTTTTGTTTTCGATGTAAACTCGCGGAGATAGAGGCAGAAGAAGAGGCCTGGTACAAGATTGACTTACTTGACTTAAGGTCCTATGTCCCCTAGATGGGGCAGAGGGTGTCCACAACAGTCCTCCATCCCGTTCGGTCTTGAGCTTCTCGCTTGAACTCGCTCCAGGTCTTGCCGATTTTCTTCGACTCGTCTGCTACAGTGCGCCGCCAAGTTTGCTTGGGGCGACCACGTTTCCGTCATCCTTGGGGGTTCCATTCCAGAGCCTGCTTAGGGATGTGATCGGGGTCCCTTCGGAGAGTGTGGCCAATCTAGTTCCACTTGCGGCGCTTGATCTGCTGGTCGATTGGAATTTCGTGGCTGAGTTACAATAGCTCGACGTCGGTACAAGTCGGGTACATGATTACCCTTTTGTAATGACGTCCACTGCTGGACAAAAGCCTCCCCCAAGGATTTTCACAACGACCGGTCCTGCTCTGCTCACATCCAAGTGTTTCTTGCGACCTTCATCAGATTGTCAGTCCACCAAGTGTCACCTGTCTCACTACGTTACGATTTGTCCCTCAGCACTGCAAAGAAGAACAGATTAACTTTTAGTTTTGTTTTTTATGCAAGACAAAGCAGGTATTTGACCGCAATCGCACCTGGTGTTAAGTAAGATGCAGTCTAGGATGGTACATAATATCTGCCCTGTAAGTGCCTATTCACTCTCGCTTTAAAAAGGACCGGATTATGGTGCTGTTTGGTTGTAGTGTAGTTGTTCTGATTTGTACACATTTTTGTACCTGGTGTGAATTAGTCTGAACATAGTAATATACAGTACTGGTAATTTTTCAACCTTTAATATCTTTATTGCGTTCATAATGTACAGTTATTATGAAATCAAAAAGATACTATGAATCGTCAATATATGCATGCACTTTCTTCTTGATATTGATTCTACGACGTATTCAACACACATATTTTCCCATCCAGATCCAGAAATCTTAACAGCAGTGCAAGAGATCGGGCAGCTGTCCAGCCGGTTGACAGCGCTGGTGGTGCTCGGAACAACTGCAGAGGCGCGGGCGCGGCTGCTGCACTGCTTGCTGGGCAGACGACTGCTGCCGGATCGACCTCCCATTGGATGCAGATGGGTAAGTCAAAGCCTGACTAAGTTCCTTATTTTCCAATTAGGAGTTCCATATGATTTTCGTTGCTATGGACAATTAATAAAATCATCAACATCAGCGACGCTTTCGCCCATCTGATAATGCAATCGGACTGAACTCTCGGTCTCCAGAAGGGTGTAAATGGGTAAGATCTTTATTTCTACCACTGCCAATGCTGGATGTAAACCTTCCCTAAGGATTTCCACAAAACACGAGCTCTTTTAATCTTTTTGAGATTATTGGTCTATCGAGCAGGTAAAATGAGAAAGTCCTTGATGTTACCTTCTTTAACTGGTTGCGCAGTTTGTTTGGGAGTTCCGACTCCAGTTGTTTTAGACGAAATTAGGATTACAGCGAGGCAAACTTTGGCGTTTGGGGACTTAGTGATCTTACCCAGGAACAAAATAAATACACCCTGTCCTCCAACTTGTCACAGATCAATTTGATAATCAGTTTAAACTTTTTTTTTTATATTTCCAGTTGCGTATCCAATACGGGGCCACGACCCAAGTTCACCTTACCCTTGGGAACTCCGAATTCGAGCTGGTTGAGGACTTGGAGTGTAATAAGAGACCTTGGGAGACGCTGCCGATCCAGGTGAGAAAAACTAATAAAAATGACTCTGATGAGTTACCTAAATATGCAGAATACCAGCGTTATGTTCTAGGTTCTACATATACCCTAGCTAGAGCATCATGACACAATGCTTCGTTCGTTTCAGCCGAATGACGTCCACTGCTGGACAAAGGCCTCCCCCAAGGATTTCCACAAATACCGGTCCTGCGCCGCCCGCATCCAAACACCTTCCGCGACCTTCACCAGATCGTCGGTCCACCTAGTAAGAGGCCTGTCCACACTATGTCTTCCGGCTCATGGTCGCCACTCGAGAACTCGGCGAGCTATGTGCCCCGCCCACTACCATTTGATTTTAACGATTCTGCGGGCAATGTCAGTCACTGGCTCTCCTGCGGATCTCCTCCTGATGATTTTGAACTAAACAAACAATTTTTATTTCAAAACAAGGTTTTGAGAAGGCCGATAAACCAAGCGCTTTACAAGAAAATTCTTAAAAGATTGTCTTTCTTTTAAGATCGAGTTTGACAGATATTGGACCTTGGAACTTGCTTAACCTCTGTATGCCCCCGCTTATCAGCATCACACCTGTACTCTCGCATTATCTTAGACCATTACATCATTAATTCAATTTAACTATTTCAATTATAAACATCATTAAGGCCTGGTTCAGACAGCGATAATCGCGCGGTTGCTGGGCTGTTCTCGTACATTTGCACCAAACCGTAACCGCACGGTTACCGCATCAGTGCCTCGCCAAAGAACCACCCAAAAACTGCGCGGTCATCCCGCGTGTATGAACAAGGCCTTATGCCCGTTTTCACCATCAATCCCTAATTTTTAAGTGACCCCATTAAAAACAATATTCCTGTTGAATTACCATAGGGGTCACTTAAAAATTATGGATTGATTGTGAAAACGGGCCTAAGACTAACAGTTTTTACCATCCCTCTAATTTTCTGTTAGGGACCATAGATCTAGCGGTACTCAGTCAGTGCATGAGGTATGGCAGCGGCAAAGGAGGGTGTTTATAAGACGTCAAACGTCCGCTTCAGATTTGTATAGATGTCCTACACTGAACTGTCCCACCCCCGACATTAACAGGGGGGCGCCACCGTCTATACCGGATCGCTGGTTCCGATTTTTTCCACGTTGGACAACCAAATATAATGTAGTATGCGCGTCACGCACGCACACACTCACATCCCTTACATAGTATATAAGGTTATACACTATTAATAAATGGGCTCTTAATACGCAGTCAGTCTACTTATTTAATCGTCCCAACGCCCAACGTTGCAATAATATGACATTATTGGAGGGCGCTAATATCAGTACTGGGTTAGGTTTTTTATTTTTGCCACATGACGTTACAGAATCGTGGGACTATAATGCTCTGTCACGTCATATTATGTCAATGTCACCCCTCCCGTGCCGCTTCCATACCTCAGACACTTGAATTTAGCGCTAGCCCTATAACTATGCCCTAAAATCTACTTTGTTTTTTCCAGGACCTCGTCCGCCAAGACCACACAGACTTAGCCACGATGCTGGAAATAGAACTGAACAACCCCTTCCTAAAAGACGGTCTTCGCATCATAGTGCCTCCAGACATCGACCACGACACCTGCCACAACCTACAGACTTTAAAACACTTACATTCCGAATTATACTCGAAAAGGGACTTAATACTTAAGAATTTCAATCCAGTGTACCTTTACGCGGTGGATAGAATCGGCAAGAATGTGTTCAGTGATAGTTTTGTGTCGAATATGGTGACGTCACGGAGTGAAGAGGACTTTTGGAGTTCGTTCAACTTGTATAATATGACCCGGTCGAGTTGTGACAGTGGGGAGAACGGGGAGGGTGGCGAAAGTGATAAAAGTGAGGTGGTGGAGGAACGGCCGTGGAAGGGGGGCGGGGAGCCGGCTGTGTTTACGTCAGAGGTATGTATAGTGTTGCCAGACTAAAGTATTTTAACTTTACGGTTTTAAAAGGTACGATTTTACAACAAACATTTGTAGATTTTGGTGGTGGTCCGATTGTACTTTTTTCCTGTTGGTTCGATTAATCGTACTACAAGTAATAGCAATTCCCTTTTAATTAAAATTAGCAGTTCTCTAATCTCTGATGGCCTAATAATAAGGTCTAATACCCGTGCAAAGCCGCAACGGGTTGCAAGTTACAATACAATTTTGACAACCATGACACCAGGACTTAAAAGTCCTGGGAATCGAGATAACTTTTTCCAAAAGTCCCGGGATTCGAGACTCGACACGTCCCAAGACGGGACGTGTCGAGTCTCGAATCCCAAACCCTATTAGCACATAAAAGGGACCCAAACCCTATTAGCACATAAATATTAATTTACAAGACTAAGTGATTGTTCCACTCCTCCTACATTCAATAAAAATACTTTATTGAAAACAAAATATACTTTTATTATTAGACACAATGTAAAGGAATTACTACGTTAGATCTAGTGATTAACTCAGTGCCTAAGATATGAAGGCGGCAAGGAAGGGGTGACATTGACATATTATGACGTGACAGGGCATACAAAACTTTTTTTTTTAAACAGATTTAATGGCTTCGGATAGTATCCTTAAGGCCAAATCTTTAGTGAGATATTTCTTTCTTTGTATTTTCACCCATGAGTACTTTCTGAGTGTTTTCAATGGATTTGGAGTTTCGCTGACGTTTGACCTTCACAAAATCACTCCCGTGCCGCTCCCATATCTTAGGCGCTAAATAAGTTAAGTCCGGTCACCGAGCAAGTAGAATTTTGTCCAATGACCCCAAGCTACCCATCCTTATTGCTCGCGCGTATATTGCTGTCGCGACTGTGCGACGGGCGGCCGCAGTGAGTGTGCGAGCGTGACAGCAACATAATTACGCGCGAGCGATAAGTATGGATAGCTTGGGGTCATTGGACGAAATTCTACGTGCTCGGCGACCGGACTTTAGACCTATTGTAATCATTCTATTCTTTTTTTCCCCAGAACTGCCTAGACCTCCACCAAGTGAAAGACATCAACCCGCACTCCCAAGTTCTGTTCGTGCTGTTCTCTGACAGCAGAGACATCAGAGAAGGGAACAGAATGGAAGACAGAGTGAGGGTGTGCATAGAAGCCACGGAGTCCACGGAAGACGCCGTGTACTCCGCTGAGGAGTTGCCCGAGTCAGACCAGGAGCTTATAAGGTATGGGGTAGAATATTACATATGTTAATTTTTTTGAATATTTAATTGTATTTCAAAAGCGGAGCGTAGGACTTCCGGATACCTAAATAGACAAAAGCGTATATCCTTTGTCTGAGTAGTGTAGTGTCGAAGTAAAGTCATGTCGATATTCAGTAGTGTCGGAGTAACGTAATGTCGAAGTAACGTTTTTCGGGGTAAAAATTTCCACCCAGGACTTCCACCCACAAGGTGGACCGACGATCTCATAAAAGTAGCAGGATGGCGCTAAACGCAGGCCGCTACCAACCGGTCAACATGGAAATCATCGGGGGAGGCCTAAATGCTGTGACGTCCTATGACAGAAAAGATGATGATTGCATCCATGTTAAAATTAAAGGATTGTTTTTATCCCGGTTTTTGAAATAGGGACCTTCGTGATCTTTTTTTCTGTGACAGACAAAGTAAACGCGGGTGTAGCCACGGGCAAAAGCTAGTAAAAAAAAGAATAACAATGGATGCCTATTTATTTATTTATTACAGACATTCCGAAGAATCTCCGCGGCCAAAGAAGAAATCGACTGACAGCAGAAGACTGAACGAAGAACAAAACGCATTCATGAATGATTTACTTGATCAATGGGAATTAATGTGTGAGTATTTTTATAGAAACACTTGACTGGCAATAGAAATAATATACAATTGGGAATTAATCTATACTTATAATAAATCTGTAGAGAGGTCAATTCTGTACATGAAATATATTTTCAAAATAACTATCAGGGGGTGACAAGTGATCGATACTGATGCCAAAAATGCAATCAGTAAAATTTTTGTCTGTCTGTCTGTCTGTCTGTCTGTCTGTATGTTCCTTATAGAAACAAAAACTACTTGACGGATTTTAACGAAACTTGGTACAATTATTCTTCATACTCCTGGGCAGGTTATAGGATACTTAAAAATTCCCACGGGAACGGGCATTAGCGGGAAAATCCTATTGTATGAAAAATCTAAACCGCTTAAGTTAGACGCTTGAAATTTGGCATGTAGGTACCTTATTAAACTTAGAGCTTAGTTACAACAAGGAATTCCCGAAATTCTCACGGAAACGGGAACAAGAGGGAAAATCCTTTTGTATGAAAAATCTAAACCGCTTAAGTTAGACGCTTGAAATTTAGCAAGCAGGTACCTTAGTAAACTTAAAGCTTAGTTATAACAGGATATTGCAAAATTCCTACGGGAACGGGAGTTAGCGGGAAAAAACATTTGTATGAAAAAATCTAAGCCACTTAAGATAGACGCTTGAAATTTGGCATGCAGGTACCTTAGTAAACTTAAAGCTTAGTTACAACAGGATATTGCGAAATTCCAACGGGAACGGGAGTTAGCAGGAAAAAACATTAGTATGAAAAAATCTAAACCGCGTAAGATAGATGAAGGGGGTAAAACGGGTTCCACGCGTACGAAGTCGCGGGCGGCCGCTAGTACAGTATAAAATTATTTATTGATCAACGATTTAGTATAAGGATACTAAATACTTCATATTTTGCCGATATTGACGGAAAAGTTGGTTAAAACATCAGTACCTCTAGTAGGAAAAACTTTCGAGTTCGTTTCGTTGCGTATTCAAAGTGTCATCGAAAAATTTTGTATGAAAAATTAAACAGCGCCCCCTACATTATAGCCGCCCTAGGGGGCGCTGTTTAATTTTTCATACAAAATTTTTCGATGACACTTTGAATACGCAACGAAACGAACTCGAAAGTTTTTCCTACTAGAGGTACTTGTATTAGATGGGACTCACTGATACAAGTTCTTGTCATCGCAGGCATTGAAAATTTGATTTGAATCAAAAATATTTGTTCAAGTTTGACTACTATTTTGGCACTTATGTATTTCCACGTTAATAAAAAAGCGTAGCCTTAAGGGGCACTTATCAATTAACAACCACAATCCTTTCTCTTTACAGCCAACCCCACCCCAAAACACTACGTAAAGAGCCAATCCCTAATAATAGACGACAGTGAAATCCTGCGCACATCAGAACAACGGCCTTTAGCGCCGCCGATCGCAAACGCCATACTCAACGCCGACTCCAGGAGTAAGCGGGACGGAGAGAGCGATCGGATAGTGAAGAGCAGGACGGCGCTACTGAATAACACCGTGAAGTTTGCCACGGATTGTTTGCAAAGTTATTTGCTGGAGTATTGCACCAGGTTGAGTGAGGTTTGTAGATCTGTTTTATAGCTTTAATACTGTACGAATACTAGCGAAGTAACTAGCCAATTTTAAAATGAAATGAAACTAACTGATTTCTTGCTGTGACATAATAATAAAAAGGATCTCCCTGTATCTATGTAGTACTTAAACACCCTACCCAGACATGAGTTAAAATCAGTCAACAACAACAATGTAAAGTTCTAAATAAATTAGAAAAGGTGGCCGGCTGTCATACGGCTGTGTTAGAAAATAGTTATCTTACTTTACGCGATTTTAAATTAACAACTTGAAAAAAATCGAACTGCCTAAGGCGGGAATCGCACGACCTTTCGCTTGCCAGTTGACGCTTGCTTTACGCGATTAAAATAATTAAAAAAATCTTCAGTTAGTCAACTTAAAAATTGGTAACTGCTTTACATAACCCTCATGTACATTCCAGAACCACGTCAAACTGCTCCAGCAGTTCATCCTAGCATCTTTCGACATGGCCCGCGAGTTGCAAGTCGTTCCCAAGAAGATACAATACGTGGCCACTCAAGAACAGCAGTTATACGAGACTATCAACGAGAAGTTCTCTGATGGGGATAAGAAACAGGAATTGCTGCAAATTATGCAGGAGGTTCTGCAGGAGATGAGAGCGGAGGTCAACAATATGGACTGGAGTGTCGATGGTAAGTAATGAGTAGCATGGAGTAGACTATAGCCCGCTTAGGTGGACCGAGGGTCCTGTTTCACCAGGATCGCGAGGAGAAAACCTCTATTCAAACAACTGGACTTGAGTTTATTGGGACCCTCGAATCCGGAGAGGCTCATTCAAGAGCGAGCTATCTATATCTGATAATCCCTACTGTAGGAAGGCGATCTTAGGCGAACACAGTTTCCTGTTTCACCAGGACCGCGAGGAGAAAACCTCTATAAAAACAACTGGAGGGATGAGTAGGCCCCTCGAAGCCGGAGAGGCTCATTCGAGAGCGAAATAGCCTGAGACGGAGCTGCGGACGAATGTCCAAGTTAGGACAGTAATTCGCGGCTCTATTTCTTTAGGCTCCAGTGGACACCATCAGGTTTTAGTAGACCGTCCTTTTGGCGATGACCCTACCACATAACAGACATAATTTTTTGACGTAAAAAAGATAAGGTTAAGATCCAATACGTGGCCACTCAAGAACAGCAGTTGTACGAGACTATTAATGAGAAGTTCTCTGACGGGGATAAGAAGCAGGAGTTACTGCAGATTATGCAGGAAGTCCTGCAGGAGATGAGAGCTGAAGTTAATAATATGGACTGGAGTGTCGATGGTAAGTAATGAGTAGCATGGAGTAGACTATAACCCGCTTAAGTGGACCGAGGGTCCTGTTTCACCAGGACCGCGAGGAGAAACCTTTTTTTAAACAACTGGACTTGAGGTTGGTGGGACCCTCGAATCCGGAGAGACTCATTCAAGAGCGAGCTATATCTATCTATATCTGATAATCCCTACTGTAGGAAGGCGACCTTAGGCGAACACAGTTTCCTGTTTCACCAGGGCTGCGAAGAGAAACCCTCTATAAAAACAACACAGTTTCCTGTTTCACCAGGGCTGCGAAGAGAAACCCTCTATAAAAACAACCGGAGGGATTAGGAGGCCCCTCGAAGCCGGAGAGGCTAATTCGAGAGCGAAATAGCCTAAGACGGAGTTGCGGACGAATGTCCAAGTTAGGACAGTAATTCGCGGCTCCATTTCTTTAGGCTCCAGTGGACACCATCAGGTTTTAGTAGACCGTCCTTCTGGCGAAGACACTACCACAAACATACATAATTTTTTACCTTGCCCCACCCTAACCAGATGGTTTAGTAATAGAATTATCGTCACTCTTTTCACCATCAGGTCATCTAGTTTCGGTTACTGGAAGACGCCTTTCTAATTTATCAGAGATAAAAGGGAGGATACCAATCGATCAACGTGGAAAGCATTAGGGGAGGCCTATGTTCAGTAGTGGACGTCCTATGGCTGAAATGATGATGATGATGAAAAGGGAGGATTTGGCCTGCAGTCCCCACGCTCTGTCCAGACGAGTGGAGGAAACCTAAGGTATGCATAGTTATCGTTTAGTCGGCTCTTATGAGATCCACGTAAAGAAGAGTGGGAGTATAACTATTCCATTCTGCTCGAAGCACACGGTTATTTTGGAAATTGTCGGTAAAAAAGATATCCCCTAAAAACTCTTTGTAATGTCTTCTTATGGTATCTTTAATTTCTTATGACCTCGACTCACTGAGTCATACATAAAAGACATGCATGAAAATAGTACGTGCCCCTGTAAAATGCTTAAAATATCTTATATCAATTCAACAAAACCATTAATGTATACTTCCAGACCTGCCCTGCCACCAAGACCGTCGCTTCGTGATATCAAACTCGGTGTTCTACTCGTGGTCTCCCACCAGTCCGGGCCGCGTCCGCCTGACCGAACCAGCGGATGCCGCAACATCCGCATCCGCATCCGATGGGGAGGAGGCGGTCTCTTGCGACAGCTATAATTTTGAAGACTATGAGATTATACAGGAGACTGATGAAAGCTTGAGCGTCAGCGAGTCTTTTAGGAAGGTGAGTGACACTCCTGGTCTCTTAGTCCAGGCCACGTCCGCCTGACCGAACCAGCGGATGTTGCTGCATCCGTATCCGCATCTGATGGCGAGGAGACGGTCTCTTGTGATAGCTACAACTTTGAGGATTATGAGATCATACAGGAGACCGATGAAAGCTTGAGCGTCAGCGAGTCTTTTAGGAAGGTGAGTGATACTCCTGGTAAAGGAGTGCAAGATAAACTTAAACTGTCATAATTACTCACCATAGGTAGTTTTTGTGCATCTTTACTAACATTTTGCCACGTGTCTGTGACTAGCATCTATGGAAGATTCCCGTTTTGTCAACTCAATAAGGACTATCATTTTAGCGTTGGTGCCACTTGTAGAGTAACGCCATGTCACTTGCTTAGTGCCTAAGACGCACTCACCAAGATCGCGACACTGTAGAGTATGGTACTGTCACTGGGCAGTGGTGCCAACTTTCAAGCGAGAGTGAATAGGCACTTAGATATGTGCCATTGGGCAGATATGTACCATCCTAGACAGCATCTCACTGAACACCAGGTGCGATTGCGGTCAAATACCTGTCTTGTTATGCATAAAAAAACTGTAGTGCTCTTTGACTTGAGTGTCAACTACCCTATTCTAAACAACACTTTATCCTTACAGTCCAAGCAAGACGACTCGAGCCCAGTCTCGTCCCAGATCGGCTCCATCCGCATCGAGAATGAATCGTCCAGCTGGGGCTCGCCGCGTTGGAGCGCCGGTGCCGTCTGCAACAACGACAGCAACATGTCGCTGAAACAGGCCTCTTTAGACGTGCAGCAGACTGGTAAGCAGCATACAACAGTATCTTTGGGTTGTCTACAGGAGTGTAGCGAGGTAAAAATGAACCAATATGGAAGCAAAAACTTGCATTTCTCTTCAGTAAACAGAGAGTTGCAAACTAATTTAATAATTCACACAAAAGGGAGGATCGTAGGCGGGGAAATCAAATGATAATTGGGCGCTCGAGGCCTCACAAAACAGTTTGCAACTACTCTGCTCCGCATACTTCTCCGTTCCGCTACCTAGCTCCGCGGCTATGGACAGACACAGTCCGCAACTCCGCTCCGCTTGACTCCTTTAAGCTGTCATAGGAATGGAATGAGATGATGCAGTGGAGAAGCGGAGCGGAGAAATCGTGAGACGAAAACACAACTAGCCTCCGCACACTTTTTTGCTCAACGACAGCAACATGTCGCTGAAACAGGCCTCTTTAGACGTGCAGCAGACTGGTAAGAACAAACAACAGTATTTTTAGGTTGTCCACAGGAAAGTAGCGAGGTAAAAATGAACCAATATGGAAGCAAAAATCTGCATTCCTCTTCAGTAAACAACGAGTTGCAAACTAGTCTAATAATTCATACCAAAGCAAAGGGAGGAGCGTAGGCGGGGAAATCAAATGATAATTGGGCGTTCGAGGCCTCACAAAAACAGTTTGCAACTACTCTGCTCCGCATACTTCTCCGTTCCGCTACCTAGCTCCGCGTTTGGATAACCAGTCCGCAACTCCGCTCCGCTTGACTCCTTTAAGCTGTCATAGGAATGGAATGAGATGATATAGTAGGGAAGCGGAGCGGAGAAATCGTGAGACGAAAACACAACTAGCCTCCGCACACTTTTTCGCTCCGCATACTTTCTCGCTCCGCTCCGCTACCTAGCTCCGCGTTTGGATAGACATTCCGCAACTCCGCTTGACTCCTTCCATCCGCATCGAGAATGAGTCGTCCAGCTGGGGCTCGTCGCGCTGGAGCGCCGGCGCCGTCTGCAACAATGACAGCAACATGTCGCTGAAACAGGCCTCTTTAGATGTGCAACAGACTGGTAAGTCGTTTCAACTAAAAGACGTCCATCGTTAGACCAAAGCCTCCCCTAAGGATGCATCCAGGTCGTAGAAATTCACCAGATTGTCGGCCCACCTAGAGGGAAGTTTGCCCACTTCCTTGATCGTCGGTCCACCTAGACTAGCCTAGAGGAAAGTTTGCCCACACTACGTCTTGCAGCCCGTAGTCGCCACTCGAGAACTTTTCTGCCTCAACGGCCTGATGGCCCTGATAGGCACTGATGTGCCTACTACAAGCTAGCGGCTCTCCGCTACCTAGCTCTGCGTTTACGGACAGACACAGTCCGCAATTCCGCCCCGTATTTCTCCCTTGTTCTGCTTCAGTAGACAGGCGGCTTTAAGATGCTTTTCCGAAGCGGGCTTCAGAACGCAGCGATAGCACGTGCAGTCGTGTCCACTGCTTCACAAAAGCCTCCCCTAAGGGTTTACTTAACCAACGGTCCTGCGCTACTCACGTCCAGGCGAGTCCCGTGACCTTCAATAGATCCTCGGTCTACAGAGTGGGGAGGCATGCCCAGGCCCACACCACATCTCAACTGTGACGTCACTTTTTTAAATTATTAATATTTTGTCCACAGTTCTGTCGAAATTGAGTCGCAAGATCAGCCTGAAGTTAGTGAAATTCGTCGACTGCCTCAAGGATACGTATTTTGGAACGTTGCAAAGGTAAGCTAAATTTTTAGTTATCCAATAGAAATTGTTATTCTACCTTCTTCAATATTTTTTGACTGCGTATGTTGTTACGAGTTATAAAGTTATGTTAATTAAATAACGCACGTATGCGCTGTGACATAAAGTTTGTTTTCGAATGGTTCCACTGAGAAGTGTAAATAATAAACAATTTTGTACAAAATCAACGATCAAACGAAGATATGCGTATGCTTCTCATTGACTATTTCAGCTTCTTCAAGATCTTTTGCGTCTGTATTTTGATACGAGGTATGAAGTTATGTTAAGTAACTGATGCACGCCCGCGTTGTAACACAAGTTTACTCTAAACGGCTTGTTTTTTACACTAGTAAGAATATCTGATGGTTGCAGATGCCTGGATTCTCTGGAGTCTTCATGCCGCCAAGAGTTAGGCGGGCGGCCGGCCAGCGAGGCCATGCGACAGTTACTGTCAGTGGCGCGCCAAGTGGACTTGCAGCCATGTGCTTCCTTCTCACTGCTGCGTTCGATGCTGGATTCGCTTCGACGGCTGTTCTCCAGGTGAGTAGACCCTGAGTGAGGTTGGGATACAATCAGTAGGCCGTCTACCAGGCTGGTAGACCCTGGGCGGGGTTGGGCTACCATCAGGAGGCTGTTCTCTAGGTGGGCGGCCGGCCAGCGAGGCCATGAGTGAGGTTGGTCTACCATCAGTAGGCCGTCTACCATGTTGATAGACTCTGGGTAGGGTTAGGCTACTATCAGGAGTTTTCTAGGTGGGTAGACCCTAGCAGGGTTGGGCTACCTTCAGGTTTCTTCAGGCGGGCGGCCGGCCAGCGAGGCCATGCGACAGTTACTGTCAGTGGCGCGCCAGGTGGACCTGCAGCCCTGTGCTTCCTTCTCACTGCTGCGTTCGATGCTGGATTCGCTTCGACGGCTGTTCTCCAGGTGAAAAGACCTATCGTAATCTCCAAAGATATGTTTAAGACTTAAAATTAGCTTTAACCTCAGGCGAGGTTGGACAATAACTCGCAGTTCCGTACCAAAGACTTTGTAGGACACCGTCAGGTATAGTGAGTAAGCTTTGCCCATCTGGCAGGGAGAGCCTCATAATCCACTGGTTCCCCGGGCCAGTGGGTATGCAATATCATGCATTTCCTGACGAAAAAAAAGGTTAAGCTACCATCATGAGGCTGTCCTCCAGGTCGGTAGACCATGGGCGGGGTTGGTCTACTATCAGGTTTCTCTAGGTGGGTGGATCCTTAGAAGCGAGGATGCGCCAGCTGCTATTGGCGCGCCAAGTGGACTTGCAGCCCTGTGCTTCCTTCTCGCTGCTGCGTTCCCTACTGGACTCACTTCAGCGGGTGTTCTCCAGGTGAGTAGACCCTGAGTGAGGTTGGGCTACCATCAGAGGGCTATTCTCCAGGTGGTTAGACTCTGGGTGGGGTTAAGCTACCATCATGAGGCTGTCCTCCAGGTCGGTAGACCATGGGCGGGGTTGGTCTACTATCAGGTTTTTCTAGGTGGGTGGATCCTTAGAAGCGAGGATGCGCCAGCTGCTATTGGCGCGCCAGGTGGACTTGCAGCCCTGTGCTTCCTTCTCGTTGCTGCGTTCGATGCTGGACTCGCTTCGGCGACTGTTCTCCAGGTGGGTAAACCCTGAGTGAGGTTGGGCTACCATCAGAAAGCTATTCTCCAAGTGGTTAGACTCTGGGTGGGGTTGGGCTACCATCAGAGGGCTAATCTCCAGGTGGGTAGACCCTGAGTGAGGTTGGGCTACCATCAGAGGGCTATTCTCCAGGTGGGTAGACCCTGGGTGAGGTTGGGCTACTATCAGGAGGTTTCTAGGTGGGTAGACCCTGGCAGGGTTGGGCTACCATCAGGTTTCTTCGTGGGTGGACTCAGCGAGGCCATGCGGCAGTTATTGTCAGTGGCGCGCCAGGTGGACCTGCAGCCCTGTGCTTCCTTCTCACTGCTGCGTTCGATGCTGGACTCACTACGGCGGCTGTTCTCCAGGTGGGCAACCATCAGAAGGCCGTCCTGCAAATTGGATGGAGCCTTAATGTGACATGTCCCTTACTATGTCCCTTACTAAAGCTTCAGCCAAACTAAGGAGCTCAGCCTGAGTTCGCGTTGGCATATGGCGATCAGACGTGTTCACATCGACGCATCCTCTGATTGGCCGCGGCGTTCGGTGCAGCGTCTGCATGTGGTGGTGGCTATCAGTTCGCACTTATCATTTTTACATTTCTACTTTTCAAAATGGCGGCTTTTTTCCTGTGAACGTCTGGAATGGGAACGCGACAATTGTAAACCAGTGATCGCCATCGTGCACGCTATCGCGGACGCAGACTGAACGCGTTGGTTTGGCCGAACCTTAAATCAGCTTCCTCCAGCTTATGTGTTATCCCACTGACACCCTGATATCCAGCAGTTGAAGATCCTGCTATAGCACGGCCTTTGTCAATCCTAATAGCAGACATTTGACGTCAAATCTCTATATTCCTCCAGCTTATGCAGCAACTTATGTGTATTATGTATTGTTCTAGACTGCGGATAGTGGGCAGCGAGGGCGAGGAAGCATGCTGCGTGCTGAGTCCCGTGTGGCGCCGCCAGGTGGCACTACACACGGCGCACTCGCTCGGCCCGCAGCGCCTGGCCCGGGTCATCTCTGCACAGGTGAGACACGAGACTGCTACCTCTCTCGCTCACTCATGTCTCACCCGGTTGGATAGTACCGCGCCGAGGGCGGAACAGTCACCCGGTTGGATAGTACCGCGCCGAGGGCGGAACAGTATTGTCAAAGTTGTGCCAGGCCTGTTCTCCCCTAGTAGTCATCGAAAACAAAACACGCGCGGCGGCCACGCCGGCATGGCTAATCCGGAATTCACGATCGAGCAGTTACTGATCGCTGAATTGGTTTAGTGTATTTTGAATCGAGTTCTCGACTAATAACAGTGAAAGGACATCATCCACGTTTCATATATTTTTGGTCCAAATTCAAAAGTGCCGGCCAACAAAAAAAAGTGCTGTATTCTGACAGAATACGTCTGCCTTAGCATTTGTTACTATGGCACCAAAGCCGTAGCTCCACTCTGCGTCGAGTATTTGAGATCTAAGAGTCATCGACTATTCATACATTACGATGCACAGTGGTGCTACAGCTTTGGTGCCATAGTAATAAATGCTAAGGCGGACGTATTCTATCAGAATACAGCACTTTTATTTTTTGGCCGGCACTTTTGATTTTGGACCAAAATGGATGATGTCCTTTGCTTGCAATGGATTACTCTAGTGTGTAAACGAGACGGTACTAGACTCTGAGGCAAGCTACATTACACCATGTTGACGGTGTTGAGTAGACATTTTTTTAAATACCTTTGCGAAGAAATTCGACGAAGATCTTCTTGTCATCAGAGAACACGTTTTTGGGATGTTAGACATCTTCGGTAGTGTCTTCGATTGAATGCGTAAGCGGAAATAATCGGTTTGCTTTAGACGCCTAAAACAGAACTTTATTTTTGACCTTGAAAAAAAACTAATAATTTTCTCGATTAAAAATCTTCATTGGGCTCTACGACTACCGATATAATAACAGCTTCCATCCTCCATTTTCATCATCACTTTCCATCAGATGAAATGCAGGCCAAAAGTTTCCCAGTCTTTTTGTGGTCTCCTAATCGAAACCATTATTTGTGAATCCATGTCTCTCCACTAGCGCAGATCTTTTTCTCACTTTTCCAGCTGTATCAGTTTATTAAAGTGCTAATAATAATATATTTCTGTCCAGATATTAGAGAGGTTGAGCGATGCCCACGAGAGGTACCAGTCAGCTCTCACGTCTCTGGAGTCGGCGCTGGCCAACCGGCTGCATCACACCGAAGATATTAAGCTAGCTATTAGGAAAAAGTAAGTCTACCCTCATTTCAGATTTCATGAAATATTTTAATGGCTTAGAAAAATATTTGTGGAAGGCCAAATATTTACCTTGTCCTGCTTAAGAAAATCAACTTAAAATGTTTTGAAGGTAGAAACGTAAATTGTGTTTGTTTTTAAGAGCAAAACTGTATTTTTTAAAGTCTTATTAAATTTTTTTTCCTCAATATTTAGCGATTTGTAATTACTATTTAAATTTGCAAAATAAAGACATTTTTTTACTTTGTCTTTTAATATTTTAGAGTAGTTACATGAAATAACATTGTATAGCATTTGTGTTGCTGTCATTTCAGATACGCTCCGTCCTTTGCGCGTTTATGCCTCGAGAGCACATCGATGTGTGATTTGCTCATGTACGGGACTCCAGAGTTGGGAAGAGAAATTGGTAATCTAACTTAGTGTTCTTTGTGATAGCGAATCAAGCTTATTATACATACATAGACTATTAATACAAATACAGTTCGTTTTTAAGGCTTCGCCAAATACAACGCGTATCTATCGAAGCTCATAGCGTTGCGTACTGCTAGCGCTGTATTTGACACAAAACTAAACATTTTACCGACACAATTCGGCGCTATAGCGCGACGTCAGGCTCACGCTTTAGCGCGCGATAGGTACCCGTTCTATTTCGGAAAGCCTTTATTATTATTTATCTGAACGTCTGCTCGCTTCGGGAAGCTGTGTCTTTAAAGCGTTATAGTGCTCGAAGCAACGAGCACTCATTCGCCTGATCTGAACATCTCTAGAGCTTAAATTGTAGAATCCTAGTTCTTGGGTCTGTTATCAACATATTCGCGTGGTGTAAGCGCTGAAAGCTAATATTAGTACGTGTTGAAGCCAAACTAAAACCCACGTAAAACGGAACGCAGTGACGTCACTCAGCGGCGCTCTTATTGGCTACTTTATAAAACGTATCGTTGTCAAAATTTGAATTTCATGCATATCATTACTATTTGGTCTACGCATTACAACCTTTGAACCTGTCACTGTCTTTTTTCTGCTCATCATCTACTGCAACTGAAATCTTCAATTCTCATACGAAACAGTACGTTTAAAGATCAAGAATGAATTCTCTACTCTGATTCTAGCTCTTTGTTTAGTCTAAATCCACCTTAACACGCGTGGTAATTCTAGGGCGCGGCCAGTACGGCGTGGTGTACGCGGTCCGCGGCGGCTGGGGCGGGCGCAGCCCCGCCGCCGTCAAGTCCGTGCTGCCGGCCGATGAGAGGCACTACCACGAGCTGGCCATGGAGTTCTTCTACACCAGGTGAGGAGCACAGGTTCATAGGCGAGGCAAGGACAGTAGTGAAGGCTGGATGGGAGACGAAAAAGTCAAACAAAAACCATTGACTATACATGTCAAGAAAGGGACGCTGCCGGCCGACGAGAGGCACTACCATGAGTTGGCCATGGAGTTCTTCTACACCAGGTGAGGACTAGTATAGGTTCAGAGACAAGGCTAAGACAGAAGCAGCAGAGGCAGGAAAAGAGGAAAAAGTCAAACAAAAACTATTGACTATACAGTCATGTCAAAAAAGGGATGCTGCCGGCCGACGAGCGGCATAAACACGAGCTGGCCATGGAGTTCTTCTACACCAGGTGAGGACTGATGACGTTAGCATAGGTTCAGAGACAAGACTAGGACAGAAGAGGCTGGAAGCGACGCGCAAAAGTCAAACAATAACTGTATAGTCAAGAAAGAGGTGCTGCTTGCGAATGAGAGGCACTACCACTAGCTGGCCATTGAGTTCTTTTACACCAAGTGAGCGGCTTTAAGAAAAGAAAAGGTCCAGAGACGGCACCGACAGAAGCAGCGGAGTAAAATAAAAAAGAAACAAAAACTGGTTTTTGACTATAAATGTCAAGAATGGGGTACCACCGGATGAGAGGCACTACCATGAGCTGGCCATGAAGTTCTTCTACACCAGGTGAGGACTGAGGACTAGTATAGGTTTAAAGTAGTGATGAAAATGATATCCGGCGGCCGGATAGTTGGCCCAAGTCTCGTTGCATGTCGTGACGAGTTTAGCGCCGCACAGGTGTTTCGAACGCGATCAGTGGGTCTATTAGTAGACTAGACTAGTCACACTTTTCGAAAATCGAATTCATCCGAATAGAATGTCAGATTTTGCCACTTGTCTAGGGGGCAGATTAATTCGGGCGATTTTGGTTGCCATCGTGAGTGTGTGATTGAATAGCGAAAATTTATTTGGCAATATTTTGACATTAACAGATATTTACCATTTATGTATTCGTCATTAGAGATAATAGCCCAGAAAAAGAAATTAGTTTTTTGAAAGGCCTTAATATGGCTTTTTTGTAACTTTTTGGACTTTTAATAAAAGCCGTCATTATTATAAGCCATTTTATTGATATTTATTTACCCCAAAGATTTAATGTATGGAGCATTCCACGCGAAGCGGACAGGTAAAAAAAGTCGATGTTTCCGATTTCAGTAATATTTGAGTATGTTCTACCTATACATATTATTGATACGTGTACCAAATATTTTTGTAATATAATGACTAGTTTAAGAGTTATGGGTCTTCGAAGTTTTCGGCAACCGGTTGGCATGCAGTACTTCAAAGCCGATTATGGAGTCATAAAATTATATATTAAAATAATTAAACCACGGGATTTATTACTTCATTTACCGTGCTTTTTAACTGTATTTTTGGAAACGAAAAAAAAAGTATTTCATTTTATTAATAGGAAATTGTCGTAGTTTTTTAATATCCGGTATCCGGCCGGATAGTGAGTTACTATCCGGTATCCGGCCGGATAGTAAATTTAGGCCGGATATCCGGCCTACCGGATAGTTACCGGATATCCGTTTCATCTCTAGTTTAAAGATAAGGACAGCAGAGGCTGGAAGCGACGCGCAAAAGTCAAATCTACTGGTTTTTTACACAAAGGTTGCAGCGAGAACGAGGTGTGGTGTGGGATTAGTCCCGTTAACCTTTCCCACGCTAGTCCGGCTTGTGTTCGCATATTTCTTCACATCCACGATAAGAGTGGGGGTGGTCCTATTTTACTCTGCAAGCACGTAAGAAATAGCCAGTCAGTGGCAGTGGGCGGGACCTCGCAAATGTGGCAGGAATTTAGTCGGCGCAAGACGTAACGTAAACTGGCGAAGGTTGCAGGAAGAGATTATTTGAAAAGTCTGTCTACGCTCTGAAGAATGGGGATGTTGCCTGGGTCNAAACGTCCGGAAGTTGTAATAGTATTATAGAATAAACGTTAAAAGACTTATTTATTTAATTTTTCAATGCTTAAGTGTCCATTAGAATGAATGGGTGCTTAATGTATTTAAAAAAATAGAAAATAATTATGATGGGTTAATGTTTTTGGGCGGTTTTTAGGCGGTTTCTGACAATGTCCTTCAGACGTATTGCTATGAGACATTTTTTTTGTCTCATTTTTAATTTTTTTAAGTGATTTTACGGGTTTGCGCTACACCACTAACGTCTGAAAATAATGTTTCCGGTATCTCAGAACTATCATTCAACTACAGTCTGCAAATCAGACATATTGCTATGATGCAGTTCGGTAAAATTCTTTGACAATTTTGAAAATTTGGTCAGATCAAACGCTACGCGGAAAATGTCTGATATTGGTATTTTCGAGTTCAGGATAATCGTATCTATCGATTTGATGCGGTTTTGGCCGTATTGCTATGAGACAAAAATTTTGGTCGTGGGCTCTCGTATTAGAGGTCTTGAGTTTAAAAGCGGTTTGATAATAATTAACGCGTTGTCGCCTGGGATCTTTGGGCGGGAGCGGGCGCGGACTTCGCGGTGTTAATTAATGTGTAAAAAAAAAATATTTCAGAAAGAAAGAAATATTTTTATTATTTAGTGACTTTTTCCTGTGATACGGATCTGCGGGGCTACTCCGAACAACGTTATTCGATGTTTCGAATGTTGCCATTCTTCTCACACATAGCGAGATGCCAGCATGAGCGATGGTGACAGCAGACCCGAAACTACGTAAACAACGTTTCGTAGTAGCCTTCTCTAGTCCGCTGCGTGTAAAATCACGCTGCTGGTTGCACGCAGGACAAAGACACGGTAATACTATCTATACAGTATTCCAACTCGGCCATATTTTTGAAATAAATGTCAACAGTCGCGCGGTACGTCACAGTATGACAACATGCGATAGGGCTGTCTACCTACAGTACCCAGTTTAATTACATCTGCCTACTTAGAATTTCTATACAGGGTGTTAGGTAAATGGGTATATGAGCCGACACTAGCCCATGTTAACATGGGCATATAAATGGTATGGTGAAGTCAAAAATTTGATATCAACATTTTAATTTTTAAAATTTTCATACAAAATAAATTTTATAAAATCCGATTTGTATGAAAATTAAAATAATTAAAACGAAGATATCAATTTTCTGACTAATGACATAATAGGTACTAGTAGATTTAATTTAGTAAAATCTACTTAAATAATTTTGAAACTTTAATAATCATAATGATCTGTTACGTTAATTTCGGGCGGGCGAAGTCGTGGGCAAAAGCTGGTTTAATACAATATAATTTTCATTTCAAATCAAACTGACTGAAAATGTCAATTTGACTAATTTTTGACCAATTTGACCGTAAATGACGGTCAGTCAAATTCAATCAGTTTTGTCATTTTTAACACGGCCACCGACGTCCATTCGGCACATTCGCATTCGCGACACCCCCGACTTTTGCATACCGAGCGCATACCGAGATTTGAATTTCGAAAGAAAGTTCTCGTTTCATCTGTTTATATGAAGTTACAATACTGTATGATATTATTACCGTGACAAAGATTTGTATTGTATCCCCGCAGCCAATCCGGAACAACATGTTATGGCAAGTGTCAGGATTAGGGAAGATAGTGGTAGCTAGCCAGGCAGCCTTAGAAAAAGCCTTACCACCAACCAAACCCAGCATATATTTATTTTAATATTTTACGAGAAAAGAGAATGTAAGATTCTAAATCGCCATCGCGTTTCCCTTAAACGACTTTAACTTCAAAATACCCAACCTTGCGCTTTATCCTAAATTAATTTTATTTCGCGTAGTATCATTTAGTATTCAATCAATGATGGGTTCAAGTCCCATCGGGGTCGGTTTAGATTAAAAAAAATAGGAATACATTTCTTAATACTTCGAACCTATGTTTCGAACTCACACAAATTGTATTTTTAATGTAATGCCTAAATTCATTAGGATGGTTCATCAATAATTGGCATAGCATTTACGTAAAATTTAATTTCTATTAATTAAAGTTAAAATTAATTTCTATGAATTTTAACTTTTATCTTTACTTTTATTTGGTTTCTATTTTATTGTTTATTGAATATATTAGCGCCTAAGAATAAGCAAAAAATATTAGTAACTATTTAGTTTATTATCCTCGTTACAATGATCGTGCTATTTGTTTGTAGTTTACTGTTCACAAATAAAAGTTATGAGCCCGTAAGTAAAACACCACATCAAACTAAATATTTTGTTGCAAAATCACTCCTATTACAACTACAAAAGGAGCCACAATGTGTAGCTTGAAGTGCCGCCGTACGTAGAATTGCACAACAATAAACATCTTATCAAGATTTTTATTTAGAACGCGATTATGAATTATGATCCATTATAATTATCAAAGTATTAAATTATTTGGGTACAAGCGCGCTGATGTCGTGTCGCTGCCGCGCCGACAAGTTACAAAACTGCCTTATATTTTTTCGTCTTCTTCTACTTTTTTGTTGTTGATTGCCAGTCGAAGCCGACTTGATGTGTGCCAGTGTCAAGTATAAAAAATATTTCAATTAAAAATAGGATTCAATTGATGAAATAATGAATGTTAATAACCCTACCCATTGATTTTCAGCATTTCAGTAACCTCCTAAGACCTTACATTTTAGAAAAAATAAATTAACACCTTGAGTCCTGAACCTTCATGTCCTTGTGATTAGATTCATGATGATTTTGGTATATTTTTGCTCTAAGAAAGTTCTTTTGGGACTTCGGAATACTAGATTAAATAATTTAAAATTACAGGTGAAAAAAACATTTTGTTCCATTTCTGGAACATTCGGTCACAATCAAAAAAGGTCGTGTTTCAAAAATGTCAGGACGCAGTAACATTGTTGCAATTTGTCCCAAAAAAAGAACGCCAGGTCTCACGAGGGTAAAGATGTACGATGTGCACTTTACTGAAACCAGACGCGGACTTCTTGAGGGAACTTGAAAATTGATGTTGCACTGTTTCGTTACATTTGCCTACACTCACGCACGTTCACGAACACTTAATGGTTAATTT